CCAGTTCTCTCAGCATTCCCAGAAGGCAACAAGGGGTTAGTCTGAAAAGCATGAAATCAGATATGCAGGAGAAGTGATCCAAAACACATCAAATATAATCTTGGGCTGCAGAGTCTTAAAGCAGCTTGTCCTGGCTCTGGCTGAGGAGCCTGATGGCTGACACCAAACCAATTAGAGTGAGAGGCTGATGTTTTGAATTTCTGGCTTAACTGTGGCCTTAATTTTGACATGACATATGACAGAAGGAAATTGGGAAAATTAAAGTACGAGACACACTAAAGAGAGCACAAGGCTGAGAGCAACAGCCCCAGACAGGTAATGGGCAGGTCTGGTTTCCTCAAGAAATGACCAGCACAGATTGTGTGACACAAATCAAACCCAGTATTCCAATGCCACCACCTCTGCTGACAAACAGATCATTTTGGCCCCGTTTCTGCAGCTGATAGGATATTACAGAATGGCTCCTATTTAAGTGATCAGAAATGTCTCCCAGGCAGTTGGAACTGTCAGTCTGTGGCAATTCTTTTGCTTCCAGGTGCTTTATTTGTTTCCCTCAAGAGCATCATCTAAATTCATTGTGAGACATAAACTCACATTTAGCTGGCATGAAAATTAGAGCCCAAAATGATGTAAAACCCTCGGAGAAAAGGATTTGACTAGCATTTGCATTTGGAAAATAGAATTAAAATGTCTGGAAGCATCAAGAGCTCTGCAAATATTATGGAAGCAGAATGCTCAGAGACTCAGCACTCCAATAACGTTTGTTGTGAGCTCATATCTCTATCTGACAGAAGAACAGCTCTCATTGTAGGACTGATGTGAGAATTCAGGCTGCCAAAGCCAGGTAGCTAGTCTCTCTCTCTCTTTGTTTCCTTCCCTCCCCCAGCTATTTGAGGGAGGCCACAGGAAGGTTGGGGTTACCTGCCCTGGACACTGCCAAGCACAGACCTCAAGCACTCAGCAAGTCAGATGCTAAAAGGCCACACAGAGCACAGGAGTAGAACGGGACTGGAGAAGGATACACAGGTGGGAAGGAAGGAGAGGGGAAGAAACTCTTTGCTTCAAAATGTCTAAAACCATAAAAATAAATAGAATGAACATAAAATAAATAGCTTTTGTCAATGGAATCGATTGGATTCAAATAGCTCATGGAAACACTAAAAATGCCCTTCAGGCTGATGCCACTCCTGGAGTCAATGTTCTGCGGTTCCACACGCAGCTCCTGGGCCTTCAGCCACGTTTGGCCCCTGTGCCCTGCCTGCCCGAGGGACTGTGCAGAGAAATTCCCAGGCTGAGGGCTGGGAACGGGCACAACCGAGCTGGGAGTGTGTGCAGGAACAGGAGCTGTGCCCGGCCCGGGCTGAACGGCCAGAGAGACCTCGAGGGCAGTGAGACCCAGCAGTGTGCA